GCCGGCCCGTTCCCGCGATCCCTCGGATCGGACGTCCGTTGCTGCTGTATATACTTGCTCCCCTGTACATAAGTATACACCTACCCCGTATACTCACTCCTCGCTATATTATATACTCTTTTATTTATAATTATACATGTATCCTCTCTGAGATGCATTTTTACACGTGGAAGAGCACAAATTTACGCATATATATGCGTCTCGGCTTGACGCTAACGAAGCGCACTCGCTGTGCAATACATATAGGTGTACCTGCGCACCCAAGTATATCGGAACTCTGAGATTCAGGAGAACCGAGAGAAGATTAATTTGCACGCTTTGCGACTGTTGTAGGTATTTTCAGCGGCCCTTGGAAAGGATGATTGGTCCTGCGAGAGAGTAAGCCAAAAGCGCGCTTTTATTTCAATTTGGCGAGGAATGCGCCCAATACAATGGTAGGTGTGTACACAAGAGCCCATCACGATGATGATGATGGCTATCGGAGGGTCTTTTCCTCGAATCGATGCGAGCCCCTTTGCTTGGGCCGACTCGCGAATATATATAGGTAAATATATAATGTACCGGGCTGTTCATCTGCGGGTTATGTTTTGTATGTTTCGCGTGTATTGGGTACCTTTTGGCCTGTGTCCCGGACCTTTGGTGAATGAGAGTGCAAATGGGGATACCAAATTTTCTTTCCAACGTGTAATGGGACAATTTTGGTTGCACGTGACTATTGGTTTCTACGATTAATTATTTAGCTGTTAACGAGACTGTGGGTGCAACTCCACTACTTGGTGTTTGAAAAATACGAAACGGCACGTAGGGCCCTCAAAAAATCAAAATTTATCGAATGGTTGCAGTTTTGCATGAGATATATACATACACCGAGTTAACAGTAAAACGGATCAAACAAAGTTACAGTGAGAGAATCGAGTACCACTATTAACAAAAAATCGAAAATATTTCACTATAGGAACTCTTTTATTTATTTTATTTATTTTTTTTTTTTTTTGTAAAAAGTGTATCATCGGCGATTGAATACTTGAGAGCTCAAATTATTGCTCATAATTCACGGCGGAAACAACATTTCCGACTTTACCAGTTTTATACTGGAACCCTTTTTTCCAAGCGCCTTGGATTAATGATACTTTATGCGTCTACATTTGGGGAGCCAAATAATACAAAAAAAAAAAAAGAAAAAAAAGTCGAAATTAAAGCTTCCAAAGGTCAACAAAAGTGGACTTAGAAAAATAAAATAAATTTGACTCGATGAAACCAGTTGAGGACGTAATTATTTTTTTCTCTTTACCAAAACGCACAATACTTATTTCGGAGCTTTCAACCATCACCGGTGTCATCAACATCAACTTGCCAAGCTAACCACACAGTTTCATATTACACGGTAACCAGCTTCGATCGGAAGGATCGAAAAGTCCCACCAAACGGTTGATTGCACGGACGGATGCTCGCCAAGTTTGATACCTCGAGGGGGCAGGAGAGAGTATAATATGTAAACCTACCCCGGCTCCTTTTGTCCCGTTCCCTGAAGCAGTAAGTATATACATAGCAGCAGCAAAGCGCGTCAAACACATAATATACACGAACCGAAGCGAGACTCTCGCGTGTAATATAGCCGTTCCGCGAAAAAATGCCGAGCGAGAACACGGCGATACAATAGCACGTGAGGGGGGGGGGAGCCGGAGGGAGGAGGAGGAGGTGTGTGTGCGCTCGGTCGTGCGGCTGCCTCGGGACGATCAATGACAAGTTCTCGGCGTCCTTCCCCGACGGCAGCCGCACTTCCCTCTCCTCAATCAAGATATAGTAGGCGGGAGGAGCAGCTCCGCGCCGCAGCAGAGAGGAGAAGAGGAAGAAAGAAGCAGCTTAGCGCCGACACGGGAGAGAGAGAGAGAAGAGCCTCCGAGAGCGCGAGGGGGAATCCGAAAAAGCAGAAAAGCCGTCGGTTGTAAAGCTCGGGATCGGATGGCGAAGAAAGCCTCGAGAGTCGAAGTGGCCGGGGGGGCCCGGAGAACAGATAAGCGCCCAAGAATTTCTCGATGCCGGCATTAGTATATAGTCTGCGGTGCCGCACACCACCGGCCCAACACCATCATACACGTGTACACGTATATATATATATGTATACCGGTGGTGGTGAATCGTGCAGGAGCCGATCCTCTCTGCGGTTCTGCTTCGGAAAGTGACTAATGACCGGCCCTCTCGGTCGGCAGCCGACGCCAGGCAACAGCGGCCCGTAGCTTGATATACCAGTGATGCAGCCGGCCTCTTATCTCTCTCTCTCTCTCGCGCGCGCGTTGCATTGCTCCGCGCCACACGGGCTCTCCTCGGTCCACCGTAAAAAATGACTAAGTATACGGGCCGGCGGCGGCGCGCTCTGCTTCTTTATAATATATACGTGCTCCCCTCTTCTTTTTTTTTTTTTTTTTTTCATCTTTTTCCTCCTCCTCCTCGTCTTATTCTCATTCGCGAGACGCTTCGTACTAATAAGGAGAGAGGCCGCGTGAACGGGAATATAATCACTCACGAGGAAAAGGGGGAGAGTCGGACCCTCCGCCGCGTGCTGCGGATGGCCAATTTTCGCCATCAGCCGCGCTCCGAGCTTNTCCTCCTCGTCTTATTCTCATTCGCGAGACGCTTCGTACTAATAAGGAGAGAGGCCGCGTGAACGGGAATATAATCACTCACGAGGAAAAGGGGGAGAGTCGGACCCTCCGCCGCGTGCTGCGGATGGCCAATTTTCGCCATCAGCCGCGCTCCGAGCTTATAATGCTGCATGTATATAAGGATATACATATATATACCCTCACTCTCTGCCTCGTTCTCGGAAATTGTGCCAGCAATCGGTTTAATGCTTCCAGGAGATTCCGGAGCGGACACTGCGGCTCTTATACATATACGTATATTTGCTTCTTTTTTTTTTTTTTTTTTTTTTTTTTTTTTTTTTTTTTTTTTTTTTTTTTTTTTTTTT